CATGGCCCAGCGCTTCGGCCCCGGCCGCTTCGACGCCATGTCGGCGCGCCTCGCCCAGATCGGCGCCGGCGAGGGCATCCACTTTTCCTTCGAACCCCTTCGCCAACCCCCGCGACTCGCCCGCCTCCTCGCCCGACCAAGCCCAGGGCCCCCAAACCCAGAACCGCGTCCTCGCGAGATCATGCGCAGCTCTTCGAGGAAGACCGCGACATTTCGAGCAAGGACATGCTCGTGCAGGCCGCCGTCAAGGGCGGGCTCGAGGCCGGCGAGGTCAGGGCCTGGCTCGAGAGCGACCAGGGCGGCGCCCAGGTCGACCGCGAGGTCCAGGAGGCGTATGCCCTCGGCGTCAGCGGCGTGCCGCACTTTGTCGTCGACGGGCAGCAGCTCGGCGGCGCGCAGGATGTCGAGGCGTTCGTCGAGGCGTTTGCCAACATTAAGGAGAAGAGGGCGTAGCGCGTCACAGGCCTCGCTTGTCCTTTTTCTCTTCGGTCGTCCCTTTTCTCGTGGAGTGTCTTTCGGTCGGTAAACGGGGTATCATTGTCGTTTCATTACATACCAAAATCTCTCGAGCGTTTTGCTTCTCATCAACCATAGCAAGTCGGTGACTTCTTGTTCGTACGTGCCTCACATGTGAAGCAGCCCTCCGAGATCCTTGTCCATGGCCCTCAGCCGCGCCTGGAGCTCCCTCTTCTTCCGCTCGAGCTCCCGCACCTCCTCCTCCTCCGCCCGCAGATCCTCCTCCGTCATGACATGCCCGTCATGCGCGCCGCCATCCTCCTCCTCGTCCTGCTCCTCGTCCTCCTCGTCCTCGTAACCCCACTGGCCCTTGGTGCGCTCCATACTCGCCGTCTGCTCGGCGACCCGGGCCTCGTAGTACGCAGCCGTGTTGGCGTTCCGCCCCCACCGCCCCCGCAGCGCCGCGATCCGCGCCTCGGCCCCAGGCAGTGCGTACACGCCGCACAGCTTCTCGGCGCCCCGTAGCAGGACCTCGACGTCAACGTCGTCGCCCGCCCGGCGCCGCGCCAGCTGCGCGTGGAGGTCTCCGCCCAGCACGGCCGCAACGGCCGTGTTGCGCCGCGCCGGGCGACCCGTCGGTCCGCCGCCCGTCGTGACCTCGCCCGACGAGACGGCGAAAGACGGTCTTGCGGCGGTCTTGGGGGTGGAATGTTGACGCGGCGGCGGCGGCGGGGTCGGGCTGGCTTGTCGCTAAGGGCGGCGGCGGCGGCACGGAGAAGAGGGCGCGTTCGTGAGGTTCCGTGTCGCGGATGAGGGAGGTGATGTCGGTGTTGTGGAGGAGGGCGTTGGTGAAGATTTTGGGCGGTGGAAAGCTAGTTCGGGCGGTCAGCGTCTGTTTTGGAGCTCTGTCATTCATAGAGAGGGCCTGCGCAGACTTACGGGAGCGATTCGATGCCCTGGCAAGAGAGGGCTATCTGCTCGAGGTGGATGCTGAGAAGGTGTGACATGGTGATGGCATGGGAATCGTGGGAGTGTTTGTCGTCAAGTCGTAAAGAGCAGGAGATAGAATGACCAGCTCAGACAGATGTTCTTCTTGCTCTCCTGGCGGACTGTCCCTGTCGTGCCACAACGAAGCTGCTCCTGTTGCAAGATGATGCGCCTGGGTTGGTCTTGTTGACATGCGAACGGACGACTTGGGACCCCACCAACAGCAGTTGCACAGTTGCGGTGGGAGGGGCAGCTTCTGTATTATGTAATCGGTAGCTTCCCTTCCACTAACAGATACAAAGGGGAATCACCAACACTAGGTACCTCAACCTGGTCTTGGACTCTTCGCTGGCTTTCCCTGGAGCCTTTGCCTGCAGATCTGGAGCAGATCCACGGCTTCATGTCACTGTAGAGACTCCGCGTGTTACGCCAGGCAATAGGTCAACCAAGTCCACAATATCATTAGAGCACTGAAGCCCTTCTACTGCAGCACATCTATCGCCCCCAAAATACTAGCAGAAAGATCATCCAAAGGATGGGAACGGGGAAGATGTGAGAAAGAAAAAGAAACCGTGCTCCAATATCCAAACCATCGCTTATGCCCCTCAATGCTGTAATCCACCAGAAGTCTATCGATGAGGTATCAAAATGGGGGATCGAGAAGATGTCATACTAGAAGTGAAAATCGGGGGAGAAAAAAAAAAGACAAAAACACCAGTCTATCCGGCTCCCAATCATCATCATCATGATTGAAATCGTTCCTTCAGCCGTAGCCCCCCTTTTTGTGTGTGTGTGTGTGCAATCATGGAAGAAGAAAACCCCGTGCACTACTCATCCTCGTCCATCTCCATAATCTCCATCGCATAATATGGCAGCTCGCGCGCCAGCGTCTCTCCGTCCCCAAACAGCATGCCGAAGCCCCTCATCAGACGGCCTCGTCCCTCCTCTGCAGCTGTCGGGCTCCCTCGAGCTCCTCGATCCTCTCGGGGCGGCGGGTCCTGAAACTGCAGGCTTCGCCGGTCGCCCACGCGGCGCCTCAGCCTGCGCGCACTCGCGCCGACAGCATCCCACGGCGTGTCGGGCAAGTCTTCTTTTCCATCGCTATCGCTGCGCTCCGAGTGCGTGCGCTTGCCGATGGAGCTGCCGTGGGAGCGGCGCTTGCGCATCTTGAGAGCACGCTGCGCGAGGACAAATTCTTTGTGTGCCGCATCGTCAGAGGCGTCGAAGAGATCATCCTCTTCCTCACCGTCATCCGAGCCGCTGCAGTTGAGGTTTTGGAGGTGCTGCATCATGTTGATGTCTAGGTCTGGGTACGGGCGGGGTCGGTGCGGGAGATGGGTGTGGTTCTTGGGGGCTGAGACATCGCTTGTCGAGCTGCCAGCGCCGCGAGAGCGGGACCGCGAGCGGTCTGATTCGGGGTACTCGAAGCTTGTTGGAGGAATGACGCCGACACGATTGTCATCCATGGGGTCAAAATCGGAGAGCTCCTCAACGGTAAAGTTGGCAACAACCAGCGTTGTGCGGTCTGTTGGCGGCTCTGGGGCGAGCGTAATATGAGGGACGGACTGGGGCTCGTGCATGTCTTCGTCCGAGTCAGAGTCGTCCTCATCTTCCTCGTCCTCTTCACTGTCATCATCGTCGTCGTCATCATCATCGTCATCGTCCACCTTGTTTGGGACGTTTAGCACTTTGCGTGCGGCAGGTAGTGGAGCATTGATGATGTGGTCATCATCATCATCCTCTTCTTCTTCCTCCTCCTCGACGTCGTCATCATCTACTTCGTCTTCGTCATCCTCCTCCTCCTCACTCGACGATCGAGGCAGGTCGGTTTCGGTAGACTCCATGTCGGAATCATTATCTTCTTCGTCATCGTCCTCTTCCTCGTCATTCTCTTCCTCAGAGCTGCTCTGAGGAGACAGCTGTGCGAAGCGGTTGGTGGTCCGCACATAGCTGAATTGGTGGCTGTTACCTATAGGGTGATGTTGGCGGCAGCCGAGAGGCGACCTTGTGGTGGTTGAGGTGGTGATGGAAGAGGACTGGCGAGACAGAGGTTGGGGTCTGAGGCGGTGAGGCGGGATCCATGCCCACACCGCCCGCTGTCACGTTGGCGATCTTGAGGTCTGGTCGTCGTGGGCATTCATGTCTACTAGCGCTAGACAAG